GACGTAGGACTACAGGCTCCGTAGTTGTGGTACAATGGCTTAGTTGCTCTGTGGCCATGTGAGATCTTCTTGGACTAGGGATTGAACCAGTGTCTCCTGCATTGGTAGGTAGATTCTTTATCACTGAGCCATTATAGGGAAGCCCCTTGACTAAAGATTTTTATTTATTTAAAATTTTTTGGGAGGTGACTGGCATACTCACTATCAGAAACTGAGGTCACATGCCAGAAAGGATGGACATCAAATGCCAAAAGCACAGCTTTGGGGGAAGCTCCTCAGAAACGTCCTGCAGTAGGGCTCTCGTGCTATAATGTGCATAAAAATCACTCGGGACCTTGTGAAAAGGAGATTCTGATTCAGTAAGTCTAGAGCAGGCTGAGATTCTGTATTTCTAACAAGCTTCCAAGACGCTGCTGTTCTGAACACTTTGAAAAGCAATTCTGAGTCTAGAGTGTTATCAAGTCTGCCACTTGATTTTGTCATTTTATTGGACACTCAGCCACGCCCATGTCCTTACCTGCTGTCTTCAGCAGAGTTGAGCTGTTTCAATGGAGACCATTTAGGTGACTACCCCTAAAATGTTTATTACCTGGCCATTTTACAGAAAAAGTTTGAGGACCCCTGGTCTAGCTTGATTAAAAATGACAGAATGTAGAATCAGGATGAATAAATTTGCATTCTGGCTTTTCCTTGCAGAAATTTTCTGCCTTGGGTCACTTTCTCAAGAGTCAGTTTCCTGTTTAGGGAGGAGATAATAATAATAGTACTGGTTTCACAAAAGCTTTTGAAAGATTAAGCAAAACAATACAGGTAAAGAATTAAGCATACAAATGTAAGTGTGCCTACAATACCTGGGGAAACTGTTAAAAGTCTAAATTCCTAGGCTCCTCTTCCATTGCTTTGATTCGGGAAGTCTGGGGTGGGGCCTGGGAATATGTGTTTGAAACACGCTTCCTAAGGGATTGATTCTCAGGCAAGTGATTCATAAAGCCACACTTGGAGGAGAACATCCAGCAAGTTCATGTGTTCACCACATGCTCCTGACCACTCCCCTCATTTTTCCTCCTTCCCCTCCTCCCTCTTCTCATTTCTTGGTCATGCCCAGGCAAGTGAAGCTTGGTCTTGCTGCCCTTCATCTCCTCTGATTCCAGGAGCTCTAAATCAACCAGTTTTACAGCCAAGTTTGCTTTCCCACTTGTGTCCACAGTTCCAGCTTTAGACTTTTGTTTCTAACTTATCAATCACTCTCTGGAATGGACCTTTTACTCACTTCATGCTCAGAATTCCTTTTAGATGATTATGATTTTAACCCCCTTCCATATCTGTTCTTGCCCTCTCTTGACTCTTTTTTTTTTTTTTAATTATTATTTATTTGGCTTTGCCAAGTCTTAGTTGTAGCATGAGGGATCTTTAGTTGTAGCATGTGAACTCTTAGTTGCACCATGTGGGATCTGGATCCTTAGCCAAGGACTGAAATGGGGCCCCTGCCTTGGAAGCACTGAGTCTTAGCCACTGGACTATCAGGGAAGTTCCTCTTGACTCTCTTAACACAGTGCTCGGCAAATTCAACCTGGTTGTGACCTAGACTCATTTCTTAGCTGAGACCTGACCATCATTTATTTGGAGGAATTGGTAGGGACCACTGAGAATGGGTAAGTAGTTCCTACTGTCATTGCCGGAAAACGGTTGACGGAGCAACTGAACATCTGGTCCACAATGATCTAAGAAGGTTATTATCATTTCCAAACAAATAGTCTCTTCCTTTGAAAGTACCTGACCCTAGAAGTAGCATATTCAAAGTGTTTTGAAAATCAGTGTTATTCCTATCCTACCGTAAAACATATGTTCACTAATATAACAGTGGACTTTGCAGGTTTCTCAACTGCTTCCTTCACCCCCACTCACATCTCACATACAAAAAGAATAAAGTTTCACTAATTTGAACAGATTTTAATATTTCTGAAGAAAGTTATGAAATGAATATTAGAATTCTTATTTATCACAATTTCTTAAGAATGTTTTTACCTGTCAAGAATTCAGGGCTATCTAGTAGTTTTTCATTATGTACCAGTAATTAGCTTAGAATTTTTCACAAAATCAGACACAATCTTTCTGAGTAGCCTCAAATTACCCTTTGACATCTCAATTACTGGAAGAACAAAAGGAATCACTTCTGAAGATATAGTTATAGAGGGTTAGAGCTCATTTCTGAGCTAATTGAAAGTCACATTTTAATATCATTTTTACAGTTCAGAAATTCTATTCTTGATTTACCTTTGATCCCTGGTTAGACTATTCTCAGGATGTGATTTTTTTTTTTATCCCCCCTGTCTACAAACTATATCAGGTGAAATACTGTGCTTAATGAAAATCTGAGAAATTTTGGAAATGCTTTGGGAGTTTTCTTTTTTTTTTTCTTATAAAGTAAAAGAAAAAGTCATATTTATTTCACTTTATTTCCAGTCATAGAGATGGTTGTTGCTTTAGTTTGAGAAAATGAGGCCCTGAATATACATACAAATTATTTTTCAATTCTCTTAATGAAGCAGAAATGATATTTGGCTGCGATTTTTATACTATCCCTTTTTAGTATAAGATGTGGTCATTTAGGACTTCCCTGGGGGTGCAGTGGACAAACTGCGAAGCAACTAAGCTTGCGTGCCACAACCTCTAAACCTGGGAGGTGCAACTTCAGAAGCCTGCGTGCTCTAGGGCCTAGGAGCGACGACTAAGGAATCTCTGTGCCGCAACAACTGGAGCCTGTGCACCTAGAGCCTGTTGTCTGCAACAGGAGAAGCCATCACAATGAGAGGCCCATGCAGCACAATGTAGCAGAGCCCCTGCTCTCCACAACTAGAGAAAGCCCATGCAGAGCAACGAAGACCCAGCACGGTCAAAAGTAAATACATATATACTTTTAAAAATGTGGCCATTTAACTTAGCCCATGCATAGCAACGAAGACCCAGCACAGTCAAAAATAAATAAACACATACTTTAAAAAAATGTGACCATTTAACTTTTTTTTTTTTTTACTTGCAGCAGCATATTGAATGGTAAGTTTACTCTCTTCTTCTTTATCTGGATCCCTCTCACCTCATTCTGTAGGTGTAGGACACATTCATGCAATGAAGTAGAGTATAAAGATGAAAATTTGAAAGAATAGAGAGATCATGTTATAGATGATGAGAGCATAAGGAAGAACTTAGTCTTGTATCTGCATTTTTTTAAATCATGAAAACAAAATATGAAAAAAATAAGGGGAAAAATCAACATTCTTTCCAATCTAAGAGAAAAACTTGTTTATCACAGCAACACTACCATTTTTTGATTACTTTTTGCCAGGTGATATGCTAAACAGTTCATCTGCTCACTCATTCATTCACCTTTTCAGTAATTAGAAAAATATCTGTTAAGCCCCTGTTCCATGCATTATTCTTACTACTAAGGAGCTGGGAATGAAACAAAGTTTCTTCTCCCATGAGAGAAGACATTTTTTTTTTAACTTAGTGGCTTAAAAAAATCATTAATTTAATTTATTTACTCATTTTTGTCCATCCTTCAAAGCTTGCAGGATCTCAGTTCCCCAGTCAGGGATCAAACCCATGCCCTCCACAGTGAAAGCTGGAGTCCAACCATCGGCCCACCAGGGAATTCCCAAGACATTTGAATCTTGGAAGAGAGACAGTAAGCCTAGAGGCAAATATATAATGAGTTAAGTGAGATATAAAAGGGGGTAGAGAGAAAGAATGGTTAAGCGCATCTTCTGGGATAGGTCATTCAACACAGGCTGTTTAATAAACTGGAGTTTGCACATAGATCTGAAGGCAGTAAGAGAGGGAGCCCTGAGAATATCTAAGGGGACAAGTGTTCTAGGTGAAGGGAAGAGGAAATGTGAAAGTGGTTGCATATTGGAGAGTTAGTACGGCAGCCAGTACAGTTATAAGGGAGTGAAGAGGACGGAGAGTGGTAAGAAATGAATCAAGGAAGTTGGTAGAAGGTAGATCATATAAACCTTGATAAGCACTTTGGAAAAACAAGAAAGGAAGAAAGCCATTGGAAGGCTTTGAGCACAGGATGGACACAATCAGTAAAGTTTATTATTTTTTTTTGTTTTAAAGATGAAATTTATTTCATGAATAAACTTTTATAATGAATAAACTTTTATAATGAACTTCTTTTTTTTTTTTTATTTATTTTTTTTTCATTTATTTTTATTAGTTTGAGGCTAATTACTTTACATCATTGTAGTGGTTTTTGTCATACATTGAAATGAATTAGCCATGGATTTACATGTATTCCCCATCCCGGTCCCCCCTCCCACCTCCCTCTCCACCCGATCCCTCTGGGTCTTCCCAGTGCACCAGGCCCGAGCACTTGTCTCATGCACCCAACCTGGGCTGGTGATCTGTTTCACCCTAGATAATATACGTGTTTCGATGCTGTTCTCTTGAAACATCCCACCCTCGCCTTCTCCCACAGAGTCCACAAGTCTGTTCTGTACATCGGAGTCTCTTTCTTCTCAAATCTTTTTACTATCTACCTTTCTGGCTCAGCTGGTAAAGAATACGCCTGCAATGCGGGAGACATGGGTTCGATCCCTGGGTTGGGAAGATCCCTTGGAGAAGGGAAAAGCTACCCACTCCAGTATTTCTGGCCTGGAGAATTCCATGAGCTGTATAGTCCACGGGGCCACAAAGAGTCGGACACGACTGAGCGACTTTCACTTTCTTCTTGGGATAGCATTGTTATGATAGTATTACATTTTATTTTTTATTCAAATGAACTATTTTAAAGATTAATGATTATTAGCAAATCTTGATGCAAGATAAATATGATACTATAAAATTACCATTTCCTATCAACTATCTAAAGTAAAAAAGTATTTGGTACTAAGTGTTCTTATGTTCAAATTCTAAAAGTAATTTTTAATCCCAAGGGAACTTGGTACTCCAAGACCTAAAAAATTTTTTTAAATGATATTTACATAATATATATATTTTTAATCACTAAGTTCCTCCTCATCACTGAAGTATGTGCTTTTCTTTATCCTTGGGCGTCTTGAATCATCTGATGTTGAAGGACCTCCTGAACTGGGTTTCCATTTTTTTTGTTCTTCTTCAATTTTGGCTTGCTGGAAAGCTATAGCCTGACTGAGGCTGTCAAGAGCAGGATCTTCCCCTTCATCTTCACTTGCTTCTACTTCTTCAATTTCTTCTTCTGGCTCAGGAGTTTTCTTTTTTTTCTTTTTCTCTTTCTTCTTTGGAGGTTCACTTTCTCCAAGCATATTTTTAGGACAGGCATAACTTAAGTGTCCACTTTCCCCACATTCATAACACTTAGATTTATCAAAATAGTTTCGTCTTCGGATGAACTCAGCTGCTCTTCCATTGTCAATAGCAATGCTTGCTTTTATCACTCTACCAAATAACTGTTTGTTGTTTATTGCCCTGGTACAGTTTTGTGCAGAGTCTTTATCCAAAAATAAAATAAATGCAACCCCTTTACTCCTCCTGGCATCTTTATCTTTCATTATAGTAACCTTTACAGCTTTGCCATACTTGGAAAATATCCGATATAAGTCATTGTTGGTCAGGGAAAAGGGCAGATTGGATACACACACTGCTTTTACTTGGGGCCAATCCACCACTCATTTATTCAAGTGGGGCGGGCCCGGGGGACAGGGCCAGCAGAGCGCAAGTCCTCAGCTCACTTGGGGCTCAGCCCCGACCGTTCGTCGCTCCTTGCAGCTGCCTCGGCATCACGGATCCCGGGAAGGGTCAGGAGCAGGAGACGAGAAAGTAGATACCGTGCCTCTTCCCGGCTTTCCTTTGACAATCTGGGTAAAGTTTAAAAGGATCATTAGGTTGATATATTGAGAAAAAACTGTAGAAACACAAAAGTAAAAACAGGAAAACTAAATACAAAAGGTTTGTTAATTAAAGTCTAGATTGAAAGTCAAAGAGATTGCCTACCTAGTTACCAAATTGTTTTCTCTTCTGTAGTTTCCCAACCTCCCTTGTAGTTAAGGATGACCCTCCCTAGGACTAATGAAATGTGAATAATAGTGATGTACACCACTTTCAGGCCTGACCCACAAAACCTCCATGCTCTTTTGCCTCTGCATCTTTGATGCCAATGCTGAAGGTCAGAGACACAAGAGTGAAGGAGGCTGGATCCCAGAATCACTCTGGTGACAGTTGCCCATTGATCAGGAGTGCAAAACAAGCATCTTTGGTGTTAAATTTCTGGGATATTCCGATGTACTATCAGATATTACCTAAACTAAATGGTAGGTCATTTTCCCTTGGATCGAGGTCTGAGAGGTGAAGTCAATGAAGAGTGCTCAGATTTTACATATATTTAGCACAGTAACAGAATTTTCTGAGGATTTAGATGTGGTAAGAGAGTAAGAGAGGAGCTGCGGATGATCTGCATGTTTTTGTCTTGAGCATTTGGAGGAAGGAGCTGCCATTTGTTGAAATGGAAAAATTGGAGGAGAAATAGCTCAGTAGAGTGGAAAATCAGGAGTATAACTTTGGACATGTAAGATTGTGATTGTGCTAGGACTTCCCTGGTAGACTAAGATCTGAGCTCCCATTGCAGGGAGCCTGGGTTCCATCCCTGATCAGGGAACTAGATTCCACATGTTGCAGCTAAAGTTTCCACAAAGTGTTAGTCACTCAGTCCTGTTTGACTCTTTGCTACTCCATGGACTGCAGCCTGCCAGGCTCCTCTGTCCATGGAATTCTCTAGGCAAGAATACTGGAATAGGTTGCCATTCCTTTCTCCAGGGGATTCTTCTGACCCAGGGATTAAACCCAGGTCGCCTGCATTGCAGGCAGGTTCTTTACCATTTAGACTAAACTATTAGGCTTAGAGGGCTTCCCAGGTAGCACAAGTGGTAAAAAACCCACCTGCCAATGCAGGAGACATAAGAGAGGTGGGTTCAATCCCTGGGTTGGGAAGATCCCCTGGAGCATGGCATGGCAATCCACTCCAGTATTCTTTCTTGGAAAATCCCATGGACAGAGGAGCCTAGCAGGCTACTGTCCTTAGGGTTGCAGAGTCAGACCCAACTGAAGCAACTTAGCATGCACACACAGGAGGTTTAGAGCCCAAAGGAAGAACACTGCAACTAAGAGGAAGCCCATGCCATGACCTCTCTGTTCACTGTTTGCTACTAGGCCTTATTTTTGGATCTGCCATCAACTCTTTAGTCGGGTTTCAATTTTTACCTTTGTTCTGCATGGAGAGAGACCTTGAGACTATTCTTAAGTGAGTGAAAGTCGCTCAGTCGTGCCCGACTCTTTGCAACCCCATGGACTCTACAGTCCATAAAATTATCTAGGCCAGAGTACCGGAGAGGGTAGCCTTTCCCTTCTCCAGGGGACCTTCTCAACCCAGGGATCGAACCCTGGTTCGAACCCACATTGCAGGCAGATTCTTTATCAACTGAGCCACAAGGGAAACCCTAGACTATTCTTAAGGTCCTCTGGAAAACAGAGTGAGAAGTAACCTGTCCCACACTGCTAGCCTCAGAACCTCTGGAACTTGTCTGCCTCAGTGGGGAGGGCTTTCCTGAGTGAGCTCCGATGGGAGAGGGTTCCAAAATGGACCCTAGAGGTCCCATTTTCTCAGGAGTAGAAGCAACAACAATTAAGAAAAAAAAATTGGGAAGAGAGACAAGCATCAACTAGATAAAGGAAAACTGACCTAAGTGCAAGAAGGAACTTTCAATATAACATCAGAATGAAAAGACCAAGCAGAAAAACAGAAGGGAAGATTTTATTTACATAAGGAAAATCAAATTTCATCTGGTCCATCTGAGTATAAGCAAAGTTCAGAAGCAGAAAGATTTTTGTAATAAAAAAATTCTGTTGTGGTGCTATTTACATTTGACACTGACTTTTAAAAATTGTCAAACATATGCAAAAGAAGAGAGAAAAGTATAGTAAATCCTCAAGGACCTGCTATTTTTAAAGAAAGAAAGAAAAGACCTTCCACCTTGGAAATGGAAATATGCCTAGCACTCCTAAATTTGCTAACATTTAGGAAAAATTCCACTTATATGATATCTGCAATGAATAATTTGTGGTTGCTAATGTCAGAGATCCTGGAGAAGGATATGGCAACCCAATCCAGTATTCTTGTCTGCAGAATTCCATGAACAGAGGAGCCTGGTGGACTATAGTCCATGGCGTCGCAAAGAGTCAGACACAACTGAGCGACTAACACAATGTTAGAAATATACTTCCTTTCTAAATCTTATCCTCCAAATTTTAAAACTGAAATATAGTTGACAAAACATTATGTTAGCTTCAGGTATACGATATAATAATTTGACATTTGTATATACTGCAAAATGATCCCACAATATGTCTAGTAAACATCCATCACCACACGTAGTTACATTTTTTTTTCTTCTTGTAATAAGAACTTTTAAGATCCACTCTCTTACCAACGTTCAAATATACTATACAGAATTAGCAACTACAGTTACCAGGCTGTACAGCACATCGCCAGGACTTATTTTATAACTGAAGTTTGTACCTTTTGGTTCCCTTCACCCATTTTGACCCCTTCACCCCCGACCTCTGGAAACCACCCCCATTTTCCCCCTTTCTGCAGAGCAGAAGGAAAGCATCCAAGTAGGAATGACTACCTCTGAAACTGATGCAGGGTTAGGCTACTGTTCTGCATTCAATGTACAGCTGTTCACTGTGGTTCCTCTCCTACCATATGAGGGCAATTAGCCAAGTCATTCTGGAATTCTAAAAGAATTCTAGTCCTTTCCTCCCAACCCTTCTTTGAGGACTAAACTTTTAAGCAGGTTCTGAGAATCCCTGTTTCAGCTGTGCTTGCTCTGTTGTATTCTAACACATTGAGCCCTTCTCCTTCTTCCTTTGTTTAAGTGAACTCTTCTTGTTTCTTTCAAGTAGGCAAATTATAATAACAGCTGATACCTACTGAAAATTGACTGCTTGCTGAATTCTTTAGGTGGATTTCCTAATTTAATCCTCACACTAATGCTATGAAGTACTGTTATTAGCTCCATTTTGCTGATGAGAAAAATTGAGACATGGATGGTTGATTATCTTAGCTAAGATTTAAAATTTATGGAAAGTGGCTGGGTTGCATTTTGAACCCAGGCAGGATGACTCCAGAGTCTAAGCTCTTAGATATAATATCACAATATCTCCTATATATGAAAGCACATGCTGCTTCCGCTGCTAAGTCACTTTAGTCGTGTCCAACTCTGTGCGACCCCATAGACGGCAGCCCACCAGGCTCCCTGTCCCTGGGATTCTCCAGGCGAGAACACTGGAGTGTGTTGCCATTTCCTTCTCCAATGCAGGAAATTGAAAAGTGAAAGGGGGAGTCGCTCAGTCATGTCCGACTCTTAGTGACCCCACGGACTGCAGTCTACCAGGCTCCTCCGTCCATGGGATTTTCCAGGCAAGAGTACTGGAGTGGGTTCCCATTGCCTTCTCCGAAAGCACATGGCTCCACACTTAATTAAAAGTCAGTAATAACTAGTAAACAACAGGCCTATCTACCTTGAAATGATTTGCTTCAAACTTTTTATTTTTTTCTTCTTGTTGGCCAACTCTAAGCTTTTGGCTCTTCTTATTAAAGTTTATAGTCCAGTCCCATATAGGATATGATAAGTGTGTGTGTGTGTTCAATCGTATCTCTTTGTGACCCCTTGGACTGTAGTCCACCAGGCTCCCCTGTCCATGGAGTTTTCCAGGCAAGAATACTGGAGTGGGTGGCCATTCCCTTCTCGAGGGGATCTTCTCGATACATTGATAGGCTTCTAATGGATTATAGTTCTGTTGCTGAAGTTTAAAAGTTTTTTAACAACTTTACTGAGATATCTTTAACATATAGTATTCTTAAAATCAAACTAAATATTAACATTATTTTGAACCTAACAGTCAAAAAGCTTAAATTCCTAGTGAAAATGAATAATTAATTGGTGGCTCTCCTTTAATAGATTAAGAAGTTGGTGACCCTTGGAGCATCTGCTTTCATTCATTTGCTGTTTTTTATGTCACATATTTCCAGTTCCAGTTTTCTAAAAATGTTCCTAGTTTGTTAGCTTTGATGACAAAAACACAGACCATTAATTTACAAGTTTTTTATTGACTATTTGGTGCTCATTGGTCTTTCACTGGGGAGACAGTGATGAATAAGCACAGCCTATGACTCAAATTTATAAGGGACAAGTCAAGAGTGGGGCAAACTAATGATTACAGTGCAGTGTGCAACATGCTGAGGTCC